AATTGGTGAACTGAAGTTACTTTCATCTTCTGTTAAAATGGTCAAAATGGTTGTTCAAAGAACAACCCAGTGGCAATAACAAAATTATAAGCCAATAATATACTCAGTTATCAGTTTCAAAATCAAGTAGATTTTTGTTTACTTTAGCATGTGTTCTTAATCCTATGAGTTCTAGGGACTTGCAAATTACGATAAACTCTATTTTTTAATTTAAATTTTGTCTTTTTTTTTTTTTTTTTTTCCTTTTAGGTAGATCTTCTTGTTCCTACAAAAGTGACTGGCATTATCACACAAGGAGCTAAAGATTTTGGTCATGTTCAGTTCGTAGGTTCCTACAAATTAGCTTACAGCAATGATGGTGAACATTGGACTGTATACCAGGATGAAAAGCAAAGAAAAGATAAGGTAAGTCATCCATATGGTTTGTAAAGTATATAGTAGAGATCAAATTATACCAAAATTTGATTAAACAAACTGCTTGCTCATTCATCTGCACTAAGAATAATGACTAACTATAAGGAGCTCTGGTAGTGTAGTGGTTACGAATTGGGCTGCGAACCACAAGGACAGCAGTTCGAAACTACCAGCTGTTCCGCAGGAGAAAGATGAGGCATTCTGCTCCCGTAAAGATTTACAGCCTCAGAAACCCTGTACAGGGTCGCTATGAGTCAGAACTGACTCCATGGCACGTAACAACAACAACAACATACTATAAAATACACACTAAATAAAAAAGCTTCAAAGAATAGCACTGTAAAGGAGCTTGTTCTCAAATATAGAAATTATTTTACTTGTAATATATTCCATATTACCAACTATCTAATATCCAACTATGTAAGATTGAGCTTTTATTTTATAACCTTAATAGAAACTTGAACAGTGAATCATAAACACATGTAAAAATAGTATTGTTTGTACAGAGACCAATATTATTTTTATTATCAAAAGTTTTTAAAAGTGTTCTTTGCAAAATGCTTCAAAGTTAACACAAGTATTTTGAAACATTTAACATTGCCTTGATTATTTTGATAATTAAGGATTTTACATACAGTTAAATTTAGGACTATAATACCAGTTCATCACAGTTTTAAAAAAGAAAAAAAGAACAGGATGTTACTCTGTTTCGTTTCCTTGATTTTATTTTAATTTATAGATTTAATTAATATTCTTTGGCCTGTATAATCTGTTTTAATTATATGAAAGCTCTTTTTTTTTTTTTTTAAAGTTTATTCCATTTTGAATTTTCTTTCCTGGTTTGTACTAGTCTCAATTTCTGTTAAACCTCTGGAGAGAAATAACTCAAGGTAATATAAATGACTAATTTGGATCAGATGTTAACATTATGTCCTCAATTGGATCGATTAAATTGAGTTATTTGTTGCTTAGACTCTTCATGCAAATAAATTCTTTCTGAAGACACTAATAGAAACAATATCTTAGTTGACAGAATTTTAGAAAAATTAATAAACCTTATTATATAGTATGGCACTGTAGGTTAAGTATTGGACTGTTAACCACAACATCTGAGGCTCAAACCCACCAGCTGCTTCTTAGACCCTATACCATATCACTATGAATTGGAACTCACTCAATGGTACTTAACAACAATATATAAAGGATTTTTTAAATTAATAAAGCTTCTTTAAATTTTACTCTATCCTTTCATTTTATTCTGGTATTGTTATCATATTATGAACCCATGCAGAGGTTGGCAATCTCTTTCTTCAGGTATTCAAGACAGAGAATTTATCAATTTTCCCAGAAAGACTGACCCTAGAGTGGCTATTTAAGCGGTCAACAGAGTCTGGTTCAGTTGACATAAAATTCATTTTAGGAAAGACATATTTTAAGATTAGGATTATATGTTTTAACCTCTCAGAACCCCCATATAAGACCTGAGGGTACACCCATTCAACATCTCAAAATAGACACAATACATTTGAACATCCAGAAATCGGTGTATTTTATAGCGTAATAGTCTAATTGTTGTTGTTGTTGCTAAGTGCCCTGGAGTCAATTTCATATCATAGACACCTGTATAGGGTTTCTAGGGAGTGGATGTTTGAGTTTGAACTGCCGACTTTGCGGTTTAAACTGACCTTGAGGTCCAGTGCCTTACCCCACATCGCCACACCAGAACTGTAAGTCTAATTAAGAGCATTTATTCTTTCCTGGTGTGATAATGTATGATAAGTACTGAACTGCTAACCACATTTTGGCAATTCAAACCCACCAATAACTCCTCAGAAACCCTATACTGAGTAGCTATCAATCAGAACTGACTTGAGGCATTTACCAACAATTCTTTCCTAAAACAATAGATTTTTTAAAATCCATGTTTTATAATCAGTGGCATCGTACATTCAGTGATTATGGGGTATTTTGTAAGACTGACTTTGAATATTCAATTAGCTATTGACATTGTCACATTTTGTGAATAACAATTTTTGTTTATCTTTTCACCTTTTAAATGAGGCACTCTGCTGCTTAGAGAGTGCAAATACATTACAATAGATGACCTTTTTAATTTTATAAAGTTTATAAATTATGAATCTCTTGATGTTAATGTCAAGTCAAATTAAGTATTTCATCTGTTAACTATATGAATAGTCAAT